TCTGCTTATTTACTACTTTTAATTAAAAAAATTGTTTTTATAATATTGAAGGAAAAAGTAATTGTTTTGTAATTATAATGAAATTCACAGTTCTTGGACTAATTTGTGTACTCGAAATATTAAAATCTTCCAATCAGGCAAAATACACTTTGAAGATCAAATAATCCAAGTACACAAAAGATTAACATGACAAAATAAAAACATTTAATCAGGTCTATTTAATATTCCAACTAAATTTACATCTAAATCTGCAAGTAACTAATTAAGTTAATTGTATATTGTTTGTATAACTGTATGTGTATAGTTCCCTTATAACAAAATTATACCATTGAATAATAATAAAACAAAAATTAAGCATTATTTTTTCTTATTTTAAACAAAATATCTAATTAAACTAGACATTAATACCAAGGTACAGTCTAATTAATACAAATGCAGTCTATCTTTCCTTAGTTTCTTTTATATATATTATAACAATTCAATAAGATGGATGACACCATTGTATTAAAATGTTGTCTATATCTGAAAGATGAAAAAACTTCTAGTCATATTCTCTTTCGTTGATGACAGAGAACTAGGAGAGAGAAACGGGTGTTCAAATTCCCGTATGTAAATATGAAAATATTATATATAGGTGACAGTTGCGAACCAAAAATGTCAAAGTAAGGAACTATACATTCAAAAGTGTGGAAGAATTTAAATATCATGAAGTGCTGATAAACAATAACATGGAAATCACTGATTGCATACAGAATAGACTCTTCGCTGCCAATAAAGCCTTCTATGCACATAAAAACGTACTCGCATGGTCATGGGTTTCCAAGTATATTGTTTACAAAACCATAATTAGTCATACTCTAGTTTATGAGTTAAAAGTTCCTCAGACCCGAAAACAATTATCCACAAAGACAAATGAGATTGTGTGTTCCGAAAAACTATAGGGCGCCAAGCAGACCCAAGTAAAGGTGGATCGTCTGGGAAGTAGATAACATACGAAAAGTACAAGTGCAAAGCTGGCAGCAAATGCCAACGGACAGAATAGTATGGAATGACATCATACACTGTACACTGTACAAAAACTCATTCGGTGCTACAACAACTAGGGTGCGGATGAAACAAGGTGCAAATGTTTAATAGAGCTAAAGCTTACAAAGAGCTGTATAGCTATTCGAGGCTTTTGAGTAATATAAATTACTCAAAGAAATTGTTACGGTGTTATCTTCAAAGGCAGCTTCTGTCTAGCAGGACAAAATATTCTTTAATATCGTAGTAATCTGCTTTCTTGGAAGTGTTAATTATTATTTTAAGTAATATCTAATATCATTTAACATTACTTAGAATGACATATGGAAAATATATTACATGCCCAAATGTATTAATATAAAATTCATTTATTCATTTATTTTTTTCGCCTTCATTTAACTAATTAAAAGGTGTCATCTTCTCTACAAATATTGGATTAAAATGTTTCATTTGCACTTTTATTACATATTTTTTAATATGTGAAGTATATTTAAAGACATTATTGTATAAAAAATGTATTATATATATTAAAATATGCAAACAGCTTTTTGCAATTTTTTATTAATTAAAAACACACAAACTTTTTTATAGTTCAACGTTAAACAAAAAATGCATATGAAAACTGTCACAGATGAAAAATGACAGATAAGCTACATTTACAAAATATAGGAAACCTTATATACAATATGTATGTGGATATATATCCGTATATATAGCTGCACCCACTTTATTTACATGGTTTGGTGTCAAAACTGAAAATTGAGTTGTTTGCTTGGCTGGCACAAAGTTGGCACTTGAGTTCCGTAAAAACTTTCACATATACTTTTAATCCGGGCGACAGGATTTAACTTTTTACCCAATTTTGAAATAATATTTTGTACTTTTAACTTTTTTGGTATGCATGAGGCAGAAAATTACACAAATACTGCAATAATTGCATTTTATAATTGTTCTTTTGCAAATAAGAAATGAACCTTTTAGCTTTAAAATTTTGAAATTTGCTTAGCTTTAAAGCAAATGCATTTCACTATGCCGGAAAAGAGCAATATATTTCCATTAATATTATTTACATATATACAGATAATTTGTATATAAACACACGAACTATAAATTATTTGCAAAAAGATTTTAGTTTTGTTCTAATTTCAACTTTAAAATATTGCAAAATTGTCTTTAAAATAAAAAGTAAAGAAAAATAAAAGTGTGAATTGCTATTCCACTAAACTCTTCATATGAAATAAGGTCGGGTAGCTATATTTTTACACCGAAAAATAAAGATACTTTATTAAAATAGGAAATTCAAGTTTATCCTACAATCCTATTTCCACTAATACCATGTTTAGTCCACAAAACTCCAGTTTTGTATTAAACATTGCAGAATTTATTTTGGAGTTATGGTTTCTTTTTCTGATATTCCTAATATCATTGAACACTAGAAATATTAAAAAAAATTAAGTTTTGATAAATATCTTTTTTATATCTAGTAACTGAATGTCAGGAATATCTGAGTATTCCTGGTTCAGTAGGTAGGTAGGTAGTTAGTTAGATTGGAGTAGCGGCCTTGTTTCCAAAAAGCCCGCTTGAGCTCAAATGATGACCTATTGTGGTATCACGGGAAAAGCATTGGAACGTACATAAATTGAAATCAGAAAAAGGTTACGACTCTCCCATTAGGTAAAGGACCCTACCTGACAGTGCTATAAATCTGGCTAGGTCCCTAATATTGTAGGATGACAGCTCAGTCAGGTCGGTGAGAAAGTGGGGTCCGAAGATTTTTGATCTTCTTCTAGTTAACAAAAAGCACAGTGCAGCAAAAAGAATCCAGAAGTACATTCGACTGTTTCGTATTATATGGTAAGAGTTCTTATGACAAATAACTCCTTGACACTATATACTATATATAGAATTAGACTGTTTCAAAGCCTAATACTTAAAGCCTTTAATTAATACAATAGCCTAATGATTTCTTGTCGGAATACCATCTTATAATTGAACAACATTTTCAAAGAACTCTATTTCGTGTTCAATTTAATTTGTCAACCTTAATTTATACAACTCCTTGCAGTGAAGCTTTTGCAACTCAGTTTCCATTAATGTGTTGAAGATTGTAGATACTCTTTCAAATCCCTTTTAGAGTCTTAAAGAAGTCTTAAAGTCTATTCTCCTCAAGTTAAGACATTACGTGTTCGATCAATGTACTTTTAAACGAAATTACATCGTATTATATAACTTGATAACTTATAATTCTGAAGTACTAACTTTTCTTTTGATTTATTATATGTTTATATATACGTACTTTTACAACAATAATAATTTACATATATTAATTTAGGAATAATCTGCTATAAGGGCTATGCATGTACTAAAGAATTTTTTTGCTTTTTTACATTCCTTACTATTCACAAAGAATTCTTCAGGACATTCCTGCATTCCATAAATTCGAACACATGTAGTTATTTGTAACGCAAATGGGCGGCAGTTCTCGGTAACAACATCCACGTCAGGGAACCTGATATCTAATCGATTTGCATGTCCTTTGCCTAAAGTAAAGAGAAAGAAAAATTAAATTATTCGCATATAACATAAAAACTGAAGTCATGTATGTCAAATTTTAATAAACGACTTATTTTATCCAAGATTATCACGCATAATTTGTCTTTGCCTTCTTTAAAAAACTTGATCAACTTCAAGACCTCACACTAAACAGCATTTTATGTTTCGCCGAAAGTTCCAGGTGGAACTTATAAACACTTTGGATGCACGGGCTAATAAACCTAAGTGGTAACCCTTTGGATCATCGGTACAACCTAACGTATTATTCATAATATCCTTTTATTATCCATATTATTATGCTATACTTTTATATATAGCAACAACAAATATTAACCAATTTTTAAAGATAGTTTAGGAATAAATTTTAATCACGAATTACTGATTTCGGTTTACGCATCATCTCTATGATGAAGCGCTAGAAATATTTTTGAAAAATATTGGTTGACATCCTCTAATATTAACTCTCTTGTTAGAATAAAATTCTGTAGAAGAAAACATTGTGATGTAAATGTAGAAAAGTATTAATGGAACAAGATGAACTATACATCTACATCTTTCATCTATTATCACTATTATAATACTCAAACATAATTACATCGTTATTATTACCGCGCATCAATTAGGAAGCGAATAGGCTTTTAGTATGTTGTGTTTTGGTGCACAATAGATCAAGCTGGTCGCAGTGCAAAAAGGTCTTGGCCTGACCCATAAACCATATTGTGTTATACTTGGCAGACATCAGAGATAAAACGTGGGTATGGTACAGTCTTGACGAATGACTACAATTTATCTGTTGTACTGGTAGTAATATTGTTTAGTAATCCAAGCACAGGTATTTAAAAGTAAGAGAATATTAATTTTATATTGAAGACTATATTTTACACCACATTGTAAATAAAAATAATTTTTTTATATATGTAAAAGGTTTAATTACTACAGATATATGAAAACGATTAATTATTATTGTTTCTTTACTTCTATTTCTTTAATTTTTTCCTAAAGTTCTGTTTTATCTAATTAAATGCAATACATAATATTTTATTATTAATTCTAAAAGTTTTTGAAAAAAAATAAATATTTTTTATTTAAATAGTTTTTTTTGTTTAAAATGGTAAAAATATTTATTCTACTCTTAACAAAACTATTTCCTTTTTATCTAATCTAAGAGTACATAATTACTCTATAAAGGAAAGAAAAGTATTTAGTTCTCTTTGCAGTGACCTTTTTGATGTTCTGATCTATCATGATTGACTTCTTTCAAAACACAATATCGTTTAGCAAATAATTGATGTTTTGTAAAAAATATTTTTAATAAAATACATATAATCACAATTTTTTACTTACGGAATTCAAAACAACTTTTGAACGCAGTATTAATGAATTTAATAGAGTTTTCCTTTGGTTCCGGTGCAAATTTATCCAAGTTATCGTTAATATTGTCGAAATCTAATGCAAAGGGTGGATCAGCGTTAGTATAGCCATTGCCTATAAAGTTACACTCCTCAGCACACTTAAAAGAGTGTTAAAAAAGTAATTAAATTAAATATAATTAAACAAAGAAAAATATTAATTAACATATATTTAAAACAGATATCCATTATTTGCTGATTATTTAATTTTTAAATATGAACTATATGTCCTATAACAAGCTTATGTCAAAATAAGACTTGAATAGTATTGAAATCTGAAAAACAACAATCTACAGTAATTAGGTTAACTTATACGAATATAACAGTGGTTTACGCGTTTGTTTTAATATAATAGCACAGAAATTATTCAAATTTTCTTAAAGTATCTAATTACAACTCTTTAATTGAGTCCTAATTGATTTGGACTTGAAGATGATTACTGGGATAGAAGTACCTACCCTCACCTGATATCAAGCGTTAATCAATAGCTGATGTTTTGATCTTCATTCAAAAGGCACAGTGTTTTCTGATTAGTTATTACCGGATATTTGCATTATATCACCAAATATTGCCACTTTGCACCATTCTTTTATAAGTGATTGCACCTTGTTTATTCTTATAATATTTCTATTTATCTGGGCCTGTCATATTTGCACACTCCTATTCTTTGTATATTACTTTTTATCTTGTTCTTTTTTATTTACTTCATATTTCTATATTTCTTATCCTCGTTTTGTTTCTTCCTCTATAACTCTCAACATTGTATGTTAATTCTCACCTTTAGACTATGCCGTTAACTTATATCTCTTATAATCCGTTCATTCTCAATTATATTTTTTCACTTGCTATATTATATTATACTATGTATAATATATATTATATTATTTAATCATATCATCTATACCTGAATCACTCCATTACCCTCATGTTTACACTGTACTTACTATATTTAGAGCAGTTTGTTCAGTGCTGGTGAAATGTTTTTTGTCAGTTTTCGATAGCAAATCATCGAGGCATTCCTTATAACTTGGATCCAGAGTAGGGCGAGTCAATATGCAGCACGTCGAAGCTAAGTTCTTAAGAAAGTTTCAGAAATAAGTAATTTTCCAGAATTTAAATAAAACTATTCTACTTACCGCTTCAACCCGACTCAATTTTTGACAATCTTCTACTGCCTCTTCAGCTAGAGAAAACTGCTAATAAATAATAAATTAAATTAATGGAATACTTTTGTTATTTTAATTATTATAATAATTTATTTGTAAAAATTAATATTCATATTAATTTTATTTAAATTTATTTATAATATTTCTGTTATAGACTAAAAAACTTGCCCCAGTACAAATTATAAGGGTAAAATAAACCACGTAGTGGCAACTAAACATTTTTGAATCTGACCGAAAAATATTATTTTTTTAAATATTTTAATATTTTCTAGGTTCTTTTTTACAAAAAATATTAATTAAAAAGCACTGCATAAAAAGTTTTTTTCCATCTCATTAATTTTGAATTTAATTTAATTAATTTTCTAATTGAGTTGTTCCAAACTTCGCCAGATTATCAATTTTTAAACTAAATATTTTTTGTGGGTTGTTTTTATATACATATGGATATATATACTATATGTATATTGGTATGTACATATGTATATGTGTAAGCATAAAATAAAAATACTTTTAATGAGTTCAAATTGTTTAATTTTATAAAATATTTTATAAAACTGTTCAGAATAAAAAATTCAAAATGTAGGCGTATCTGACTGATTTTTTCGTACTAAGGTGTAGAAAAATAAATTAAAAACTTAGTTGTGAAATAGTTGAAAAATTGGAGTAAAAAACGTAGTATAGTAGTAGATTTGATATAGAATAAAAATAGTAGTAGAGCAACAATAAGAGCTGAAAGTTACTATAAAGCAGTGTCAGAAGAGTATGTTCATTAGATCAGTGACAATTGTGCCATAACATAATATTAATGGGAAAATAATAATGTGGTTATGGAGCTTTGATTTACGTTAAGAGAAAAGGATCACAAAAATAAGTGTAAATGTAGCAACCAACTCTGGAAAATCATCTCTGTAATTTCGCAGTGAATTACAGTGAAATCGCAAATAAATTTAACTTATATTCATAATATAGCTTGGTGTTCTTTTTAAATACTCTGTGTAGACGCTATTGACTTGACATTCAATTACTAAACCCCTTTCGTCAAATTTTTTTTTTTTGTTTTTGCTGCACTTTCAGAAAGAAAAATTTGAATGTCCTAAAGCAGGGATCAGTATACATACATGTATGCATTCTACATACATGATCGAATGGAAGCAAATTTTTTAATATGGGGCTTCTTAAATCTGGCAAATCTAGATTTTTGGTAGTATTGGTAGTACTATCATTCAATTTTGCATCAAATTTCGTGTCAATAACTGAATTTATCCAATAGTTATACATACGTTTTGGAACAAATGAGTGATTTTGACAATACTGAGACTTTTACTAAGAAAAGGAGGTCATTAAATTTTTAGCGAGAGTGTTGCATAGTAAGGAAATTAAGGATTTAGTGTTAAAAAATCGTCGATCGATAATAATTGGCCTTGCTAATACTATTAACATGTTAATGGAATCACTTTACAGAATTTTAAAAGATATTTGTTCTCTGAAATTTGTAATTATCTTACGGTGTCATAAGCACTCAATGTGATGGAATAACAGCGTCACGTTAAATTCTGTCAAACAATATTTTCTCACTCATAAAATAATCCAAAATACCTAACAACAGAAGGTGAGACTAAGATAGCTTCATTCACACAAATGATCTGGGAACAACCAACCAATCAAACGATTGTTACGCAAAAATTGACCCAAGTTCGAAGAAGTCAGGATCGAAAAAGTTTACTTCAAATACCGTGGTGTGGTGCATTATGATTTCGTATTGCGGTCTAAGCCATTGATAAGAAATTACATTTGAATGTTATTCAAAATTTACGTAAAGCTTTTTGCAAAAGAAGACCGGAACTCCGTAACTTATTTTGTGATTACAGTGTTGTATATTTCTTGTATCTTTTTTAATTGAAAGCTTCTATTGATACACTTGAAATCTTATTAATCCACTTAAACTAACTAGGTAACACTAAGTTAAATTCACAATTCTTATTATTCTTTATATATGGACACCTAAATAGAAGATGGAAAAATTCAGAAATCTGCAGATATCTGTAGATAAGTTAAATAAAAAAATACTTAATAAAATACTTCGTACGCCCTCGTTAATGTCGACTACGATGTTCGATGTTTCCAAAAAAGATTGTTGTGCGAAAGATGGTCACCCCTTTCACATCCCTTTTGTCTTTATTTAGAGTGTGTGTAACATGGACTAACATGCTAGAGACTCGGTTTTAAGAGGAACTTTATCAGCAAGAAGACTATTATGCCCATTTATGAGCATTATAAGATTTATTGTATGATTAATAAAGCTTATATTTTTGAGTCATACATGACATTAATGGATTCAATGTTCTCTTACTTAATATAATCCCCCTACAACTTGCAATAAAAAGAAATTGTAGTAAAACTGATTGAAAGCTCGTGATATTTAAACTTTATGTTCCTGTTTCTCTTAGCCAAGCTTTAGAAAGTTCTTATGTGTAATCTTTCTAAACAGAGCATTTATAAGGTTTTCTGCGTATTCTGTTTAATATTCATAGTCGTGATTGTTAGAGTCTTTGTATCTTATGTGCCCTTTTTATTGTCACAGTTATATGTGACCTTCTAAATTACAAAGGTTTATCTTCTCTACTCAATAGATTATGTATTGTATATCAAAACTGAGGTTAGTATGCGAAATATTTTGCAAGTATAGGCAGAACACAAACCTTAACTAAATTACTCAACTAAATTATAATAAGTACATAATGAAGTAAAGTATTTAACTCAATAACTACGAGAACATTTTTTATTCAAAGATATTGCCTAACACGAAAACAGGATTTACCTGTCAGTTCATTAAGACTTCATATCTGGTAAGATTATTTTAAGTTAATAGCACCGAAGGCACTCATCTTTAAAGTATTTGATTAAAACTCATATATATATTAATTCAAAGAGAAATTTAATTATCACACTTCCGAAATATTTCAACTAACACTAACAGACAAAAACATGTCCTGGTTGATATTTTCAGCCAATTCTGAAATCCTTTGCAAATTCCTGATTGCATGGCTTAGTTAATGGCGGTTTCATATCATTCTTGAGCACATTTTCTACGTGCTTCGAACATGTGCCGTACACTGGCATTTATGATTTTGTACGTGCCTGTAAGTAACTGTAAGTGTGAACCTATATCTTCCTTACATATGGCTTGCTGATAATTTTAGCAAAACATTCTAGGCATATCATGCGATTTATATAAGCCACGCAATGTTGGCACATTGCTAAATACTTTGTTTTTGTATCTGGAAATGTCTTTATTTAACTCGTGTTAAATATCTGCTCGCTCTTTAGCTCTGTGCCTAAGGTTTCTAAGACAACAAGTACTTCTCTATAATACGTAAGTGTTGAGATGCTTCACGAAATGCTACCACAACACAATTGCTTGTAATTAATAAAGTAACAATGTCTGTTTGTTTGGTTGTTTGGTGAAAAGGAATCATGTTAACTACAATCGAAATTTACACGAGTGAACTCAAATTCACTATGGAGAAATCTCAGAATAGTATCTCAAATGTATTCATTATAACAAAAGCAGTTTATATTACCTAATGATTTATTTAAATTACTAAACTCTTAATAATTTATCTTATGAAAAAATGCTGAACCGCGGCAGTGGCTCATTAATTGTCACTGTAATCTTTTCTTGTTTCAAACTGAAATATTTCTGTGCAAATTAATTGTTATTGCAGGAATTTGTCACGTTTACGT